AAATAAATATATTTTTTCTCTCTGTATTTATTCATTGAACGTCCTTAAGTTCTTTGTCAATACGTATCATAAGTGGGTAGTAGGGAGATCATGTGATGTATTTATTTATATATATATATCAATATGTACACGATACCCCCTTCTCCAAGAGGAGAATATAGGTATAGGTATTATAGGTATTGAAGTTGTGGACGTACACTAATGACGATCAAAGAACGAACACATTTACCTGAAAGTATGACTATTATGACGTTCATCAACGATCAAAATAACATGAACTCTCTCTCCGTCATGCACAATATTAATAAATTTAAATAGGTACTATTTGTGAGTGAAATTACATACAATGATAAACACAACTTGATTTGAATAAAATTATCTACAAATTGCAACTAAAGCGTAAAAATATTCTATGAAAATAAATTCTTAATATTTATAATGCGCCATCAATTATACTTATTCGTTARATCTGAACGCATTTACTATTTTAGAATTGGTAGCTRAGTTGATGTTATATGATAATTTAAAACTATTCTAATATTATCGTAACGTAACATCAATTGTATATTATGAATATAATGATATAATTTTTTAATAGATACCAAACAGCCATCACACATTTCACAGTTGCAAATCGTGTAAAATTTAATGCACTACGTTTAGCCCCGTACCTATTATATTTTATAGATCACCAATCACTTATTAGTCAATTGCGTTACGGTTGATTTTATTATACATATGTATACCCATAGTCACTCGATAGTCCATTCGAATTATATTATAAAATATCGGTACTGTATAATTTACAGAATAGTGTAAATAGTCGATGGTGTTAACTTTTTACGGACACTGCGGGACTACAAGGTTTAATAATTTGTGTGCAAAACCGAAGGATAAAATACCAATTTTGAATAATTTATAAACCGTTTGGTACGACTATATGTTTGGTTAGGATATGATAACAACAGCACATTTGTTATCTTTTAGTTTTGGTTATTGAGTTTAAGTTTATTAATACAACACTAAATTATGAAACTGTGTGCGTCGAGATAATGAATAAAAAATAATAATAATACATTCGATTATAGACGTGAGGCCTTTGTATAT